TCGGCTATTTTTGCAACTTCTTTGTAAGTGTGAACTGATTTCAAAATGAAAAGTTAAAAATGTTTTAAAAAATGATGTGGTTGTTGGAGGAGGCCTGGTGGGAGCTAACTGATGCAGGGTTCTTGCGAGAAAGCAGGCCCACGCGTGTGAGAGGCTGGTAGTGGGACATGGGCCAGCAGGTCAGCGGAGGAAGGACTCCTGACACCCGCATGGGGTTGGCACAGTGGGTGTCCATGAGCAGAGCATTGAATCAGGTCACAACTCATGGAGAAAACAGGTCAGGTGGATTGAAACTCAAATGAAAATTTATAATCTAAAACTTAAAAGGAAGATGCATTGGGAAATCTCTATGTATTACATAGGATAAAATATTATGTTTAAATTCCCCCCCCCCACGTATCAGCGATCTTGGTGTCTGGGATGTCCTCACCATCACTCAGAGGGTAAAGTGGTTCATGTATATATATAAAATTTTATTTATTTTTTGAGTTGGAGTCTCACTCGGTCGCCCAGACTGGAGTGCAGTGGCCGCTCCCGACCAGCGCAGCCTTGATCTGCTGGGCTCAGGCGATCCTTCTGCCTCAACCTTCCAAGTAGCTGGAACTACAGGTGTGCGCTGCCACGCCCGGCTAATTTTTTGATTTATTGTAGAGATGAAGTCTTGCCAAGTTGCCCAGGCTGGTCTCGAACCCGTGGGCTCAGGCAATCCACTCACCTCAGCCTCACAAAGTGCTGGGATTACAGGCTGAGCCACCAAGCCCGGCTGTTTAAATATATTAACATTAAACAAGTTCCAAGAAAGACACATAGTGAATGTGTGTGCACATGGTGTTTGTATGGGTGTGTGTGCATGTGTCATTGTGTGGGTGAGTATGTGTGCAAATGTATATAGATTTGTACCTGTGTGCAGGTGTGTGTGTGTGTGTAGGGGGGTATTTAGAAGTGTTTGAAAACTCTATTCCCGGGAGAGACTCAGAGGAAGGCTCCAGTGACTGGAGCTTGGCACTGAGGACCAAGATGCCTGGGTCCGATACTGACTGTGCCTCTAACTCACTGTGTGACCCTGAGCAAGTTCCCATGCTCTCCCATCCCGCCTGATAAGTATCCCCATTGTACAAAGAGGAGGCAGTCTCCAGGAGCTTCCTGGTGAGGGTATTATGGCCTCCCTCTTCTGTTAGCTAATTCTGTTTCTTTTGACCTGTTCTAGTTGCTTGGGAAGCTGGAAGGTGACGTTTTGTACCTGAACACATTGTCTTTCTGAAAAGCAAATAGGAATAGATTGCTAAAGAGAGGAAGGGTCCTGGGTGGGCAGTTAGCTGTGTTTGCCACACATGTGCATGAAGACTTGTCTGAGGTCAGTTGCCTCCCTTTGGTGTTGGTGGTCATAGAAAAGCAAATGGGAAGGAGCCTGTTTTAGAAATGTACGATTTTACTTTATGTGGCAATGTTAACCTATGAGAGAGGCCTACATAACTTTTGCTTACATAGACTTCAAGCATGGGGGCTAAAGCAACTCCATCTTGGATTCTAATCCATCATGTTGACTTCTTTTTTTTTTTGAGTCAGGGTCTCACTCTGTCACTCAGGCTGGAGTGCAGTGACACAATCATGGCTCTTCACAGCCTTGATTACCTGAGCACAGACAATTCTCACTTCACAGCCTCCCAAGTATCTGGGACACCATGCCTGGCTAGCTTTTTGGTAGAGACGAGGTCTTGCTATGTTGACTTCTGGTTAACCTCAGTTCGGGGAAGACCTCCGAGATTTCCAGTTTATCTATTATTCCTTGTGTAAGAGCCAGTACTTACCATAAATCCTGCCCTTAGGTCAAACAATCTTTATGTTATTGTACTTCAACTGTCCTACACATGTCTTCTGAATCACCCCTTTCCTGTAGTATATACGCAGGGGGTAATGGCACAGGGTCCACCATTTTGTCTCACTGCTGACACAGACTTGACTTCTATTTCTAAGTCTCTATTAAATGTTTATTTCTAAGAAGTTAGATATGTCAGTCTCTTTCTTTGGCCTCTCATAGTCCAGTCCACCTGAAACATCACGCATAGAGGAGAAACCTACCTGTTGTGGGAAGTAAGTGCCTATTTTTTTTTTTATATTGGTTTATCTTATACATAGATGAGCAATTTCTGTGGTTAATTAAACATGAGATTGATGAGAAAACCAAGTTCTTACGAGAAACATCATTTATGACTTCTTTTGAGAAAACCATTTGTTATGACAAACATTTAGTCTTGAATCTACAAGTCTAAATCATGTGAGTTGTTAAAGTAAACTTTTAATATTTTGGAAAAACTGTCCCTCCTGAAAACTGTTTCAAAAACTCATCTTTATAGTGAGATGCAGAACAGGCTCATCTTCAAGGGAAATGTTAATGTGTATGGAAATTTTTGCCAACTTTCATTTTACCCCGGAACAAAGACAAATGGTGAACACAAAGTTTTAATTTTCATGTATTCTACAAAAGCTGCTTGCCTGATATTTCCATTAAGTACTGCTAAAACATTGACCAAGATTTCCTCTATAGCATTAATTAACAAAGGATAGCAGAGATGATGGGATTACATTTGAGATCCACAAATCAAATTGGCCTCAGACAATGAACACATGACTGCAGGCTGTGGAGACTGGGGTAGGTCTGTTGGGGAGGGAACCCTGCCTAACTCTGTGTCTGTAGACTGACCCTCAGGTTAGATCTCATTGGTCTGAGAGGTCCCAGTGGACTTGGGTCCTCAGTGGCCCCTTTCTGCATGGGGGGAGTGCTCCAGCTGGGGCCAGGACCTTCCTCTGAGGGTATGCCTCCTGCAGAGGGGTTTCAGGCAGGGGCTACCTTCAGGACCCTTAGGAATCCAGTGCTTGGCCTGTGGGACAGGTTTTTGGAATCACCTTTCTTTCTTTCTTTCTTTCTTTCTTTCTTTCTTTCTTTCTTTCTTTCTTTCTTTCTTTCCTTCTTTCCTTCTTTCCTTCTTTCCTTCTTTCTTTCCTTCCTTCTTTCTTTCTTAGTTGGAGTCTCACTTTTTCGCCCTGACCTGTTGGGCTCAGGTTGTCCTTTTGCCTTAGCCTTCCAAGTAGCTGGAACTACAGGAGCACGCCACCATACCTAGTTAATTTTTTGATTCATTATAGAAAAGAGGTCTCGACAAGTTGCCCAGGCTGGTCTCAAACCCCTGAGCTCAGGCAATCCTCTTGCCTCTACTCTCAAAGTGCTGGGATTATAGGTGTGAGCCACCATGCCCAGCTTGAAGCATCTTTCTTAAAAGCATCAGGGATCGACATCAAAACTCCTGGGTGGGAAAGTAGGATACTGGCAGGGAAGGTTCCTTAAGACTCTGTTGGTCTTCCTCAGAAAGCTACCATCAGGGTATTCTGGGGAGGATGAGGAACAGAGGGGCCCAGCGTTCCCTTGCATCCCAGGAGGGCCTTGGCACAGGATGGCAACAGGGCCTCCTCTGGAGGCTCCTTGGGAGGCCTGGGTGCCTGTCCCAGGTTCTGCTGTGGGCCTGGGACCTCTCTAGGATAGAGGTTTCTTCCCATCCCCAACCCCATTATGACCCTAGCCCCAGCATCTTTATTCTCCAGGCTCCTCATGGCCAGGGTGAGGGCCCCAGAAGTCAAGTGGGGCCCAGAAAAATCATCCCGGGTCACCACCAGGTACCCAGCCTCTGCCTCGTCTTGGGTCTAGTCACTCCCATCTCAGACTCTGTACCTCCTCCCAGGCTTTCTCATCGTTCAGGCATTGAGAGTAATAGTCTTGGGGTGCAGGAGGCCACTTCCTCCAACTTGGGTGGTTTAAGAGCCCGGAGGGAGAGTTTATTTGGTTCCCTCTGCTTACCATGGTTTGAGTGGGATCTGTGTCTTCCACTGAGGTGGATGTTCAGTGGTCACATCCCATTGGCCTGCGGGGAGAGCAGCACCAAGACTCTTGTCTGTACCACAGACTGGCAGTGAGACTTAGGCACTTGTCCCAAAAGGAAGTGCCTTCTCTGGCCTCCAAGTCCCTGCGGATTCCACCCTTGGTAATCTCTTGGGGTTCTTGGAGTCACATTCAGAGAGTTCAAAGGGCTAAAGGGGCTATAACGAGGGAAGGGCGGGAGCTTCTCTCCCTCCCAGTTAGGGGCTGAAACTCTGGTCACCCCGTCCCATAGGGGAAAGTGGAGTCTAGTGGGCTGAGGAAGCCTCTGAATTTCAGTTTCCCAGACCTAGAGTGTGGGTCACCCTGGGGAGCAGGAATTTGAAGGTGGAGGAAGTGACCCCCTTCTTGGTTGCCACCACCTGCCTCTGCTGAGGTGGTACTGAAACTACCACCTGGGGGGGACTTGGATAGATGCCTGCCCTATGGAAGGTCCTAAGTGGGCATCAGGGAAAAGACTGCAGAGAGCAGAGAGCCTGGAGAAAGATGATGCTTCATGGGGGAAGAATTGAGAGCTGCCTCTCTGATTGGCAGAAGGACTGGGCCCTGGCAGGGGGACATGGACTTAGCATTCACTCTCAAGAATGAATCGTGGAGGGTGGAGGAGGAAAACCTGGTTGAAGCTAAGATTCCACTCAGGACAGGTGACAGAGACCCCTCACCCCATTCCACCCATCTCATGGGACTGAAGGACATTCACAGAACTGAAGGCTTGCTACAAAGCATTTATTTTTTATTGTCCTCTGCCTGCTGTGCTATCAGTGGGACCCTGGGCTAAGAGGATGTGGGCTGTGTTCCCCTAGAGGGTTCTGTGCAGCCAGAATTTCCTGTCTCGGCGTATTGGGTCAGTGATTAATTTATGGTGACTGCAAAGTTTGATGTGCTTGTTGGCAGATGGCTGGGTGCTGGACAGGCGGGTGAGTGGAGCAGCTGAGGTCAGTGCAGAGGGGCTGAGTCTGTGATGCCCTAGGCAGCATAATGGGATGAGTCTGAGCACAGACTGTGTTTGCTGAGCACTCTGGGCCTGAGTGTATGTGTGCGTTTTGAGTGCGTGTGTGTGTGTGAGTGTGTGTGTGTGTGTGTGTGTGTGTGTGTGTGTATGTGTATAAGAGAGCGAGCTTCAGGTTGAACCTACTGTGTGTCAGGTGAAATTAGTGACCAGTAACAAGGCCCCTTCTTTGCTTTCTGGAGGAACCCTGTGTCTGAGTTGCAAAAGGGTCGTTACAGCAGGGCCCAGAGGAGGGTGGACCCCAGGCTGAGCAGAATACCCCCAGCCAGGGCCACTGGGCTGTGGTTTGTCTGGCCTGCCCCATTACAGAGGTTCTTGTCACAGCAGGTCAAAACCTTAATGTCCATCTTCGGAAGGTTCAGCGTAGTCAGTCCTTCTGCTTTGGTTTGGATGGCTGTGGCCTCCTGAAGCCCCTCGATCACCTTCGAAATGGCCTCACAGGAAGGAGCACAGCTCCTGTACTGTGACCTGATCTTGTTCCCTGTGGGCAAGAGAGGAGGTGCCTAGCCTGGGAGCCCCAAGTCCCCTCTGCTCTCCTTGCCTTACCCCTTGTCCCCCTCTCCTCAGCTCCACGTAAACCTTAGTCCTCTGCTGCCTCTCCTGTAAGAAGCTCACTCGTCCATCCAGCCCAAGACTATCCTGGAGGCCACTGGAGAATCCCTACCTCTAGTCCAGATAGGAACACTGAGGCAGGAAAGATGACATGGAAAACTGGCCCCTGCCACACCCACCCTCTTTCCACAAGGCCCAGGGAAGCCTTGAAGTAGAGCCTCCTGAACCTACCCCCCAACCCCCCCGCCCCAATGCCATAGGCCATGTCTGAAACTCACCAGTGCCATCAGCCAGGGTTGTGGTTACCTCACCCTTAAAGCAAACCTTATGTTCGGCTGGACACGTGATGGAAGGACACTTGCTGGTGTCTCTGAAGTCAGCGCAGGTGTAGCACTGCAGGCTCTGGGCTGGGGGATGGGGGACACAGGCAGGCTGGGTTCAGACCCCCATGGACAGACCCACAGCTTACAGTCAGTGTGATTGCTGGGCAGCTGCCTCAAGGCCTCTCCCCTCTGAAGAAACTGTGGTATCTTCCCGCTCTCTGAGGTTCTGGGGTACAGGTTCCCCATGAGCTCACCCACACAGAGCCTTTCTCAGGGATGGCAGTCCCCTCCCCCCCAGGACTGGTTACTTCTCTAAGCCTGGCCCCATATAGCCAGCAAACTCACCCTGCTTGAAGCACAGCAGACTCGCCAGCAGGAAGAGACAGACACTTTCCATGGCTCCAGGAGGCAGCTCAGCGGTGAGCAGTACCCTGTGTGCTCCTGCAGGGATGCAGGATTCAAGCTCCCACGTCACTTCCCAAACTGTGGCCGAGGTGGTCCTCCTGTAGGCCTCCCAGCTCCCTTAGCAGGCCAGGCAGCTCTCTCCCCTGTGGCCCACTTGTGGGCTGCAGCCTGGCCCAGTGCATTAGCATCTGGAATTGCTTTCCTAAGGAACCTGAGCATTTGTACTGTGACCCTGCTTGGGCACCCTCCCACTGTAGAAATGCTGGGTGGGGCCTATGTGTCTCCACCCTTTTCTGGAGCTCCAGCTGTGGGTGCCAAGCAGACCCAGGAGGATGGGTGTCACCTAGGAGCCTGCAGGGAAGCAGAAGATAGGAGGAGGAGCAGAGGGCCTGGCCCTCTGCCAGGAGGGTGCTGTGCTTGAGGCCCCCCTTTGCGTTCATGTGGTCAGGGCCCTGAACCCTTCCTGCCCTGCCAGCAAGACAGTTTTCTGGGGTTGGAAAAAGTGATTGGCCGAAACCCAATCTCCTCCCAACATGCACACAAACAAACAGATGTTTTGTGGAAATCCGAGGAGGAGGTTGAGCTGTTCCAGCCAGTTTCGATTCCACCCCTTGACCCCAGTTTCCCAGAACCACAGGCCCCTTAGGGTATTTATCTGTCTATCTGTGAGGGGTGAGCCCTCTTCTGTGGCTCCTCTTGGACAGTTGGTGTTCTCAGCCTCCCTGGGCACTTAATGTCTTCCCGGCAAAGCCCATCTTGGCAGCTTTGCCGGGAAGAAGCATGCCTGTTAATTCTTGTTCAATTGATGTTGATCACAAGGATCCTGCATTGCTGTGGCAGAAAAATGAAATTCTGGGAACACTTCCAAGGGGTTTACCCAGGCACACTGGGATGCAGGATCTGCCCAGACCTCTTCTGCATGCTCCTACCCGCCCACTTCTGTCTCCTGACTTAGATGTGCCCCCAAGGCCATGGTGCCTCTATGATCCCCAAATCCAGGGGTCTCTCCATGGCCTCGTGGTCTCTGCCTGTCTGTCTCTTTCCTTGCCTGTTCTAAGAGTGTAAATATTGGACCAAGTCTGGTAAAGTCTGGGTGGCAACAGAAGGAGAGAATGAGGTTTGGAAGGAGGTTTATTCTACTCACAGGTCCCACGGAGGGGCACAGCTTCCAGGTGCTCAACCAGACAGGTGGGAAACTGGGGGTGGGAGAGGGGACAGAGAAAGAAGGAGGGAGATAGAGATAGAGATACAGAGAGAGAGAGAGAGAGAGAGAGAGAGAGACAGAGACAGAGACAGAGATAGAGACCAAGAGAGACACACACAGAGAGAGGGAGATAGAGAGACAGAGACAGAGCGAGCAAGAGGGAGAGAGACAGAGACAGACAAAGAGAGTGATAGAGAGATACAGAGAGAGAGAGGGAGGGAGAAGGGGAGAGAGTGGGATAGAGAGAGTGGGAGAGAGACAGCAAGACAGAAGGAGACAGAGAGGGACAGGGAGAGAAAAAAGGAGAGACAGACAGAGAGAGACCAACACACAGACAGAGAGAGAGAGCGCGCGCAAGAAGGAAACAAGAAGAGGAGAAAGGAAGAGGACCTGTGAATCAGAACCTTTCCTGCGATCTGGGGTAGGAGGTTAATTGGTGCCTGGAATTTCATTGGGTGGCTTGAAAGCAAACAAAACAAGTGAGGGAAATAGGGGGGTGGAACTAGTGTCCAGGGGCTGGTTGTAATGAATGAGTTCAGCTGGCTTTGGGGTGGTGAGAAGGATGCCAAAGCACCTCTCAGAATGGAGGGTTTGAACACACTGCCTCCCTCTCCCCCCTCTCTTTTTCTCCCTCACCTCTCTTTCCTTCTCTCTCTGTCTCTGTTTTTCTTTCCCTCTCCCCATCTCTCTGTTTATCTGTCTTCATTTCTCACAGCTCTCTCTCCCTCTGTCTCCCCCCATCCACATTTCTGTCTGTCTTGTTGTGTCTATTTCTCTATTTCCTCACCTTCCTTTCTTTTCCCTTCTCCCTCCCTTTCTGTTTATGTCTCTTTCTTTCATTTTTGTGTCTCCTATATCTCTCTTCCATTTCTCTGTTTCTCTTGATCTCTTTCTGTCTTTATCTCTCTCTCTCCCCTATCTCTTTCCCATCTCTCTCTGTTTCGGTCTCTCTGTCTCTCCTCCATCTCTTCGCCTGTCTCACTCTCTTGCTTTCTCTCTCTTTCACTTTTGACTTCTTTCCCTACTCTCTGTGCCCTCCCCATTTGCCCACTCCTACCTACTCACTCTGTCTCCTCACATTCTGTGGAGCTCATAGTTCTGGTCTGTTCCTGGGGGTGACCTGGAGGTCAATGCACATCTGAGGCATCGAGGGAGGACAGGAGCACTCAGGTCCCTGACACTCAGCTCCTCCCTTGGCCAAGCAGGGGCTTGCAAACCCTTCTTCACTTTTCACCCACCCTCCCAGCTTTTGGACCCCTCCTTCCCGAAGCATTTGGGGGTATTGGATTGGATGTCCAGTTCAGTCATATGGAAGGGCCTAGGGTTTATGGGCATCCTCCACACCCCCAGGGACCCCAGAGAGGCAGACACTTGCTACTGCCACACAGTGAGGGGGAGCACTGCCAGGCCTCTAGCCAGACCCTTTGCTCCTAGATGACTCTTTCTGCCAGGCCAGACAAGCCTCCATGACTACAATCCCTACTGTCACCTTCCCTAAATATGGAGTGCTCAACACCTGTCCCCACTCCCAGAAATTACAAGCTGAAAAAAACAAAGCTACCATTAGAACCCAGGTCCCCTGGCCCAGGCCCAGGCCCCAGGCTCTGCCCAGACCTCACAGGCACGAGAGTGGCTGCATCCCAGACCACAGATGCGTCTATCAACCCTGGGAAGCATGGGCAGTTGGGTGGGCCGTCTGGTGCCTCCTGCTCCGTCTGGTGTCCAGGGGGCCCTTAACACTCAGCATAGCCCATTGCGGCCCTCAGCCTCTGCCCCCGTGGCTTTATTATTGCTGAATAACAGAATAGTTGTCCACACAAAGCCTGAAGATTATTCTGGCTCAGGAGTACACACAAACCCATATGTTTACATTTATCTAGTTTTGTATTTATTTGTTTTTTTATTTACTTATTGGGGATGCTCTGGCTGGAGTGCAGTGGCATAATCACAGCTCATTGCAGCCTCTTGGACTCAGGTGATCCTGCCTCAGCCTCCTGAGTAGCTGAGACTATAGGCATGTGCCACTATGCCTGACTGATTTTTCTGAATTGTTGTTGTTGTTGTTGTTGAGACAGGATCTTGCTATGTTGCCCAAGCTGGTCTTGAACTCCTAGGCTCAAGTGATCATCCTTCCTCAGCCTCCCAATTGCTGAGCTACCATGCCCAGCACCCATTTAGATTTAACCATCTAGTGTGTAGGTATTCTGAGACAGAGAACTAAGACTAGGTTCAACTGCAAAGGCACACTCAAGACTAAAGTCAAGGATAAGATCCAATGCGTCGGCGAGAATAGTCACATCATGTCTAAGGCCAGAAGGACATAGTCCAACATCCCATTAACTTAGACTTAAGTAACAAAAATCCTCCAGGCCTAGGAGTGAACAACAAGCAAAGAGGAATCCAAAAACAATAGCAATCCTTCTGCCTCAGTCTCCCGAGTAGCCGGGACTATAGGTGTGCACCACCACACCCAGCTAATTTTTCTGATTTCTTTTTTTTTTTTTTTTTTTTTAGTGATGAGGTCTTGCTACATTGCCTTAGGCTGGTCTTGAACTCCTGTTCTTAAGCAATCTTCCTGCCTTGGCCTCCCAAAGTGCTGGAATTACAAGAGTAAGCCACTGCACCTGGCATTTTTACATAAAGTTTAAATTCCACCTTCCTTTGTTATTTTTTAAAAATTCAAACAGCCAATTGCCTTTTGAGAAAATTTCATAAAGTTAAAAAAAGACATTTTCTACTTATGTACTTATTTACCATTTCAGTGCTTTTTATTCTTCTCTATAGATCTACATTACCATCTGGTAAAATTTTTTTTTTCAGTATGAAGAACTTTCTTTAACATTTCTTAATCAAGCCTGCTGATGACACATTCTTTCTGATTTTATCTAAAAATATCTTTCATTTTATTCTTGTTTCTTAAGGATATTTTGGTGAATATAGAATTCTGGATAGGTAGACTTTACTCCAATACTTTATTTTTATTTGTTTATTTATTTATTTATTTATTTATTTTTGAGTTGGAGTCTCACTCTGTTGTCCAGACTGGAGCGCAGTGGCACACTCACGACCATCCCAGTGTTGACCTGCTGAACTGAAGCAATCCTTCTTTCCATCTCAGCCTTCCAAGTAGCCAGAACTATAGGTGCGTGCTACCGTGCCCAGCGAATTTTTTGATTTATTGTAGAAATGAGGTCTCGCCAAGGTGCCCAGGCTGTTCTCCAACCCGTGGTCTCAGCCAATCCCCTCACCTCAGCCTCCCAAAGTGCTGGGATTACAGGCTTGAGCCACCACACCCGGCCTCCCTCAGTACTTTTTAAAGGGGTCATCTCATTACCTTGGGGTCACCATTGTTTCTTTCTTTTTTTTTTTTTTTTTTTTTGAGTTGGAGTCTCACTCTGTCACCCAGACTGGAGTGCAGCGGCCGCTCCCGGCCACCACAGCCTCGATCTGCTGGGCTCCGGCGATCCTTCCGCCTCAGCCTTCCCAGTAGCTGGAATTACAGGCATGTGCTACCATGCCCGGCTGATTTTTTGATTTATTGTAGAGATGAGGTCTCGCTGCCCAGGCGGGTCTCAAACCCGCGGGCTCAGGCAATTCACTCACCTCAACCTCCCAAAGGCGCGGGATTACAGGCTGAGCCACCGAGCCCGGTTTCTTTTTTTTTCAGCACATCTCCTCAGCTCCCACTATCTTCAGCAACTCTTTGGGGTGCAAATGACCAGAAAGTGAGAAAGTAGAATTTATTTATTTATTTATTTTCAATTTAGCAGTCCACACGGTTTATTCAGCAATATAACAGGAGAAAACCTCCACGTTGATAGACATGAGGGAGATACAGGGTGGATCCCTGGGGTACATTCTTTAAACAAACTAACAAATAACTTCAGGTTTCATAACATGTACCAAGTACGATTTGTTGCACACCAACAGCTGTAGA